TGAAATACCATCAATTCCACTTCTGGGTATTTACTCAGCAATTCCACTTCTGGGTATTTACTCAAAGAAACTAAAATCACTATTGAAATACACCCCTATGTCTACTGCTGCACTATTTACAATAGCCAAGACGGAAGTGGCCAAAGTGTCCCTCGGTAGATGAATGGGTAAAGAAGATGTCGGGCATGTACACAGTGGAATATTACTCAGCTGTCAGAGGAAAATATCCTGCCATTTACGACAACATGGGTGGACCTAGAGGGTTTTATGTAAAGTAAAATACACAAGACGAAGAAAGACAAAGATTGTAGGATTTCACTTACATGGGGAATCTAAAAAATAAAACAAATGAACAACCAAATGGATGAAACAGAAATAGACTAAAACACAGAACAAACTGGTGCTGCCATATGGGAGAGTGGATGAAGGGGGGTTTGGCAAAATAGGTGAAGGGGGTTAAGAAGCACAAACTTCCAATTATAAAATAACTAAGTCATGAATAAAGTCATGGGAAAAGTAAATAAGGGATGAAAGCACAGTGTAGGGAATATAGCCAATAGTGAAATAACTTTGTACAGTGACAGGTGATAACTACTCTTATGTGGTGAGAATTTCATAACATATAATTGTCAAATCACTACATATTGTACATCTGAAACCAATATTATATTGTAATGTCAACCGTACCTCAATAAAAAAAGGTAAAATAAAATAAAATTACAGCATTTCAGCTTCCAATCATATTACGTACATTGTCGGATTTATTGCAAATTATCTTTGTGTAACAAGTATTGTTGTCTCTGCCAGCTACTGTCCATTCAAGAGGCCAGAACAAAGTATGGAATACCTGGAAGACAGGAACAAGAGAGAACCAGGCCAAAATTAGTATATATATGAAAACTGCCCCTCGATATACTCTTTAATTTAAGGTGATAATCTCTGTGGTCTAAAGTCTAGCTTATCCTGGAGAATGTCCCATGTGCAGTTAAGAAGAATGCCTATCCTGCTGCTCCTGGGAGGGGTGTTCTGCACGTCTGTTAGGTCCACCCGGTTTACAGTGGTGTCCAAGCACTCCATCTCCTTAACCTGTCCAGTCATTTTATTCACTACTGAAGGCAGGGTATTTTAAAGTCTCCAACTATTACTGTAGACCTTTCTATTTCTCTTTTCAATTCTGGCAGTTTTTCCTCATATATTTCTGGGCTCTATATGTTTACAATTATTATATCTTCTTGCTGTATTGACTTTTTACATCAATAAATAATGTCCTTATTCCTTTACGGTAACCTTTTTAAATTCAAATTATATTATCTGACAATAACTATATAGCCACCTCAACTCTCTTTATGTTATTTACATAGAATATCTTTTTCTATCCTTTAACTTTATCTACAGTGTCCTTAATCTACAGTGAATCTCTTTAAATGACATACAGGTGGATCCCGTTTTTAAAAACCAAATCTGACAAACTCTGGAGAGTTTAATCCATTTATTTCCAACATGATTACTGATAAAGGAGGATTTACTTTTGAATTTATTTGTTTTCTATAAGTTTTATAAGATTTTTGTTCCTTAATTCCTCTATTACTGCTTTTTTTTAAATTCTTATTTTTTTATTAAGGTATCATTTATATACACTCTTATGAAGGTTTCACAAGAAAAACAATGTTATTACATTCACCCATATTATCGAGTCCCCCTCCATACCCCATTGCAGTCACTGTCCATCAGTGTAGTAAGATGCCACAGAGTCTCCATTTGTCTTCTCTGAGCTACACTGTCTTCCCTGTGACCGCCTGCATTCCAGGTGCACCAATCATGATACCCCACAATCCCCTTCTCCCTCCCTCCTCACCCGTCCTCCCCCACCCCTCCCCATTGGTAATCACTACTCCCTTCTCGGAGTCTGTGAGTCTGCTGCTATTTTGTTCCTTCAGTTTTGCTTTGTTATTCTCCACAAATGAGGGAAATCATTTGGTATTTGTCTTTCTCTGCGTGACTGAGCATAATACCCTATAGCTCCATCCATGTTGTTGCAAATGGTAGGATTTGTTTCTTTACTGCTTTTTATATTTAGTTTTTTTATGCATGTACTATTTTGTTTCCCTTCTTCTTTCCTTTTCTGTATATTTTTGAAGTTATTTCCATAGTAGTTACCCTAGGGATTACAATTAACATCTTAAATTTATAATAATTTTGTTTAAATAACACTGGCTTAGTTTCATTAGCACATAAACACTCTGCTTCTATACATCTCCACCCCCCTCTTTAATATTATTGTCATAGATCACATTTTACACAATGTATGTTACCTTAAATAATTACTGATTAATGCATTTGCCCTTTAAATCATATGGGCAAAACGGTGAAGTTACAAACTAAACCAAAAGTACATTACTACATTAGATTACTAGGTAACCTAAGAAGTTACCTTTACTCATGTTCTCTGGTTTTCTTACAGCCTTCAGTTATACCTAGTGTCCTTTCACTTCTGCCTGAAGGAGTCCTTTCAGAATTTCTTTGAGACTGAACTATTAGTAATGAAGTCACTCAGCTTTCATTTTCCTGGAAATGTGTTCATCTCTTTCATTTTTGAAGGATCCCTTGCCAGATATAGAATTCTTGGTTGACAAGTTTTTTTCTTTCTGGACTTTAAATATATCACCTCACTGTCTTCTGACCTCCATAGTTTCTAATGAAAAATCAGCTGTTTATCTTACTGAAGGTCACTTCGTAAGATGAGCAACTTCTCTCCTGTAGCTTTGAAAACCGGCTCTTTTCCTCTGGGTCTGAACAATGTGAGTATAGCATGTGTCTGTGGATCTGTTTGCCCTGCTGGGTTGGCCCTGAACTGCCAGGTACGGAGGCTCATGTATTTCATCAAATCTGAAAGTTTTGCCATTATTTCTTCAAATATTTTTTTTGGCCTCATTCCCTTATTCTTTTTACTCTTCTAGGATTCATGGTGGTATGGTATGGTTTATGGTATCCCACAGGTCTCTGAGAATCTCTTCATTTTTCTTCATTCTTTTTTCTTCCTGCTCATCAAACTGGGTAATTTCAATTGTCTTGTTTTCTAGTTGTCTGATGCTTTCTACTCCCTACACAAATATGCTCAAATGCAGACCCATCTGCTGAGTATTTCAATTCAGTTACTGTGCTTTTCAGCTTGATGATTTGGGTTTGGTTCCTTTTCATAATTTCTACCTCTTTATTAATATTCTTATTTTGTTCAGGCATTGTCTCCATGACTTTAGCTCTTGTCCAGTTTCCCTCAGGTCACTGGACATGTTTAACACTGATTTAACAGATGAGACAATGTCTCTGACTAGTAATTACAATGTCTGAGTTTCTGTCAAATTCTCTTCCTGTTTCTTTGTATGTTGCTGTGAGTTGAACTGTATCCTCCCAAAATTCATACATTGAAGTCCTAGATCTCAGTAACTTAGTATGTGATCTTATTTGGAATTAGGGTCACTGCATATGTAATTAGTTTAGATGTGATCATACTAGAATAGGGTGGTCCCTGATCCAATGTTAACTGGTGTCCTTATAAAAAGGGGAAATTGCGTATGCAGACACACACACACAGAGTGCTATGTGGAGATCTACAAGTCAAGAAATGAAAAAGACCGCTAACAAACTGCCAGAAGCTAGGAGAGAGGAATGGGGTAGATTCTCCCTCACAGAAATCAAGAAGAAACAGCCCTGTTGACACCTTGATCTCAAGACTTCTAGCCCCTACAACTGTGAGTCAAAAAGATCCTGTGGCTTAAGCCCATTTGTGGTACTGTGTCACAGCAAGCCTAGCAAACCAATACATAGGCTTTGAAGTTTTTTGTTTTTTTCCCTGAGCCTGGACACTCTGAGTATTATAATGTGTTAACCCTGGAAATTACTTAATCCCACATTTCAGAGATTTTCTGGATTTTTGCTTGTTTGAAGACTGGAGTCATCTATTTTTCACTTTTCCAAACTGCTTATACATGGAGTGTGTTCTTTGTTGTGTGCCACTGTTGTGCTTTCTGCTCCATTGTCTCTGCAGTCAGCCAGTGGCCTGATAAAAATTTCCTTAAATGTCTGACTCCCAAAATTGGGGGAGAGTGGTGTCTCTTAAAATCCCATTGTAGCAGGAAGGCCACTTCAGCTTGTAGAGGTTGGAACAATGGTCAGCCACTGTGTCAGCCACTCAGCAGTGATCAGCAACAAAACACAACCTCAATCTTTGGAAGAAAGTGTCCTTATTGCCCACTGTGGCACCAGGAAGCTGCACTAAGAACACGGGCTGCTGTTCCCATGCCTGCCATGGTGTGTGGGGATGTGGGATACTAGTCACTACTGGAAACACAGAAATCCACAGAAATTTCCCAGCCTCTTCATCAAGCTCTCCTCTAGACACTAAAAGTAAGCAACTGAACTCCAGAGTTCCAGAAGAATGCTTCAAACACTTCCTGCAATTCAATGTTGCCTCGGTAGGGGAAGGGCCCCTGCAGCTCCCTGCCCCACCATTTGCCTTCACATCACTCCTGCTCACCCATCATTATGGCCGAGTAGGATTCCACAACATGGACGTACCACCTTTTGTTTAACCGTTCGCCTGTGAAGGACATGTTGTTTGTTTCCAGTTTGGGGCTATTATGAATAAAGCTACTATAAACATTCGTGTATACACAGAAATGAACATAAGTCTTCATTTCTTTGGGATAAATATCCATTCACTGAGTTTTTAATTTGCTATCAGATTTTGCATTTCCAACATGCATCTCCTGGTTCTTCATACGTTACAGCTGATAATTTGTCCTGTTCTTTGTTCATGAGTATAATACAATGCCTCTGAACATATCCACAGTGTCTCCATTTCTTTCAAATCTGTTTATCTTTGATTGTCTGCTCATAGTAAATGTTCGGGATTAAAAAGGTGTTTGATTTTGAGGGTGATGGGATTATTTATCTTGATTCTAATGGTGGTTTTACAACTGTATCTGAACTCATAGAACTGTATATCTTTAAAAAATATGGATTCTATTTTATGATTCTATTTTAAGAAAATAATGCCTCAATTTAAAAAATATTTAGGTTTGTGAGCTTGTGTTTAGATCTTACTGAATTTGAGCTTCACTGTCTGATTATCTAATTGGAAAGTTTATTTGGGACCCATATTCAGTATCTTTAAGTCTTTTCCTAAAGGGCTTGTCAAAAGTCCCTTGAGAAATAGGACTCTACCAATCTCTGGCCAGAGAAGGGTGAAGGGCAGGTTTCCAGGGTTCTGGGTGGGATTCAGTATTTATTTTATTTAAATACTCTGCTGGGGTAGCAGCCATGCCTCCATTTGATTGTAGTGCCTCCATCAACAGACCCTTGGTTTTAACCATGCCCAGAAAACAACCATCCTATGTGCCAATGTGTGCAAAGTGCTCTGTAAACTGTTAGAGGTTAGAGTCTTGTTGTTTCTTAAATGGGCTTTCAAACAGTCTGCTTACGTCAGCTGGTTCCCCCATACATCCCTTTAGGGGTACATGGTGCCACTAATTTTTGAGCCTTTGATGACTTTGACATAAAGCTAGGTTTATTTCTTGACTTTCCCATTCCTGATTAGAAAAAATTTTGATCTGCTGGATTATTTACCACTTATCTATCTGCCTTTTTATCCCCTAAAAATTTCATATCACCTCCTTTACTATATTCCCCATCCTTGAGAGTTTGTTTTTAAAAGCAGATCCCTTTCCCTCAAAGTTCAGACATCAATCACTCTATGGACTCTGCTATTGAGTTTCACTATGGGAGCACCTAAGGCCAGGCTGATGCTTGTCTCTTGTGGATGACCAGCTCAACGAGGACGTATTTGTGTCAATTACTGCACATCAGTTTCTCCTAGAAAATGGTATGCTGTTTCAATCTTCAGATTCAATTCCTCTTTAATAGCAGGGATGTTTTCTTCTACCATATTACTGAACACTACTTCTATACCATTTGTTCAGTTTTCCAACAAGGGGTATAAATTTTATCTATGTTGGATGGTCTTTATAATCCAATCTAGTATCTTCTTTGTCTTTTTTCTTCTACATTAAAATGTAATTAACTTTATTTTTAGTCATATGCTTCGTTTGATTTTAAAAGATACCTCTTGGTTCAGGAATGAAGTGGTTTGGAGTCTTGGTGCACAGTGTTAGGCTCCTGCTCCCTCCTTCCATGTAACAGGTATTCTGTAGAAGCAAGTCTGGGCTTTTTTACTCAGGAGATCCTGACACCTCTTTCCTGAACCTCTCTGTTTCTTCTCCTAAGTGACAGTATCAGGTGTGGAATTACTACACTGGAAGAAGAACACACCATTTCTTTGTTTCTGTCTCCTTTGGGTGATAAATTCCCTAATGCTGGCAGGTGTGATAGCCTGGCTTTTTCACATATCATAGTAATAAGCAAAGGAAACGAGAAGCCCTCAGATTGTGCCATAGGAAAGAACATGACAAGTCTTTTGAACAAACAGTAGACCTATGTGACTGGACCATTATGGGCAGGACAAAGAGTAGCATGAACAATGTGACTGCATAATGCCCCTTATCATAAACAGTAAGGAGTTCAGATTGTATTTGTTGAGCACTGGTAAATAATTAAAGAGCCTTAAGCTGGGAAATGGCATAACTGATTCCTATCTCTAAAAGATCTCTGGCAGGGAGACCAGGAGGAAGGCTAATAGCAGTAATGTAGGCAAGATAATGGTGGATTGGAATGGGCTGGTGAAGGCAGAAATGAAGTTGATACATACAAGATATATTCCAAAGGTAAAACTGATAGGTACTTGCTGGTGAATGAACTATTGATGGAGACCAACAGGGAGGAGTTAGGAATGACTCTCAGGCATATCAGCACTTACAGAGTTTTTTCCCCTGGAAACCAAAGAGTTCATTAGATTCTCACATTAAAACAGGTTAAAAACTTGGTTCTAGATACTCTAAAATTTTGTATTAGGGCAGGCCCCAAAGAACACCACATAGTATGGTCCTGTTTTAGCCCCTTCAGGAATGACTTTTCTACTGTACTGTGCTTTGGCATTATGCCATGCGACTGCATTTCTGGACTGGAAGGAAACAGTTCTATAAAATCCATTACTGTATTTACTAAAAGGATATTTTAAGAATATTATTCATATCTCAGTGTCCCTTTTAGAAGGACTTGAAGAAATGTCTCTCAATCCCCTCTTAGTCAGACAGGAAGAAACTCAGAGTTAAAATTTTAGCTTAATACTAAAGCAAGTCTCTAGGACTTTACGGCATGAATTTTGTGAGCCAACAAATTAACTTTGTTTGAATACCACCTTATTTTTTTCACCTCCATTTTCCTCTCTTATAAAAAAGTACTGCATATTTGAGAGGTTTCCCTTCCAAATTTCTTTAAAGTAGGAATTTTAAAAGATACTAACAGAAAAAATTTTCAGTCATGTCAGATGCAAAAATTAAATAAATGTATAATAGGTGCATTGCTCTCCAATGAACCTTAGGAAACAGCCCTTAGAGTAAACCCACAAATTTAGGGGACTTTTTCCAATAAAGATAGTCCTCTATCTGGGGTATGGCCTTCTATATTCTTCCCCTCACTAATTTTTAAATTTTAGAATTAAGTGTCAAATCCTTAATTGTTACCATCAATTTTCCAAGACCCAAGTAAAAGTTCACCACTGTAAAAAGGATGGTTGGTTATTACAAGGAGTTTATTATAAACACTGATCAAGTAACATCCTCTAAAACACACATTGCTCACTGACAACAACTATCTAAGATAATGTTATAAAGTTTAATCTGACATCTTCCCAATACCAGACATATAAAAAGGAGTTTCAGTCACTGCACCATTTAACAAGGGAATATCAGTGCTATGTTTTAAAGGAATTCCCAGCAATAAATTAAAATACTTTCAAGGGAAGGGAATGAGATCTCAATTGTCTTTTGCTTAAAGCCTTAAGTGGTAATACTCCTCCAAGTCTTTTTACGTTCTCTAGCCCTGCTATGTTGGGAGAGCATACAGAGAAAGGCCGCTCAAACCACCCACCAAAATACAATATGAGAAAGTATTTATAAGCTTGCTATGACTGGATGAGCCAGGGTTGAAAGGGAGGAGGAAATAAACATGTGTGGAGAACACCTTTTTGGGAGTCTGACGGCCCACAACCACCTGACAACTCTAGTAAATGCCCACCACTCCCACCTCGAGCCCATTGATAGTGCAGCCTCCCCGAACTGTGCCCAGGAAACGTAGTCTTGGCTACCACCACGCCGAATGACCAGGGCTGGACAGCTGCCCCAGCTAGGACCAATCAAACATCCTCGCCCATAATTTGGAATTGAGACTGAGAAACAGTGAGTCAGTCAGTTCCTCCTAGATCAGAATTACCAGATAAACTCGCATTTTTATCTGCTAAGTAGAAGAAAGGTCATATTTTGGCTGCTAAGTGCATTCCAGAAACAAGTAGTCTGCCTGTAGAAACAGAACTACATACACACACGAACATAAATGTAAACCCAAGCAGGTAAAAGCAAGGGCTGGGGTGGTCTCCCAGTTCCTGGCTCTTATCTCCTCCTAAGGCCCTGATACGGCTCTGCATTCCCGGACACCTTACAGTCACTTGTGCCTCTTTGCACATATGTATTCAAGCAGATGTTTATTACTTCTGACTTGAAAGTTCTGATGCACACATCATATATCCTGTTTCCCCAACTACATTATTACTTTTGGTTGCTAGAGAGACAGAGTTTGAGTATTTAATTTCTAATTTTCCTAAAATAGGACTATAATTTCCTATAACACAACCATTATAGTAACTTGCAAAAAAACCAGAAAGTGTCTGCCAACCAATCAAATGGTGGATAAAAAGAGAATTCTTAAAAAAGGAAACACTAAAACAATCTTACCTCTAGATTCTCTTTTTGATACATTTCAATAGCTTTCTCTTCAGATAATCCACAGCAGCCATATTCCAAAGGAGTAAACACTGTTGTTGGAACACTAGTATAATCACACTGAAAGATAAACAAAGAACATCCTCTTATTTTGTGACACTTTTTACAGCAAAGATCTACATCACATACATTTATAATTGTCAAATAAGTCAGTCTGGTCCCGTTAACTGCTCCCTGCACATCATCGTGCCAGGGCACTCTGAGTCATGCTGACGGAGGTGCGGTGAGCCCAGCTCGGGGCAGAGGCCACACACTGGCCGACCAGCGAACCCACTGGCTCTCCCAGGTCCCAACCTGACTTCCGGTCCGAAAATCAAGTGGTAGAGGTGGAGCAGTGGGCACTCTGTGGCTTCTGCAGACACTCTCTAAAATGTTTTCTTTCCATGCCTACGATTCTGAACCCTGCTCTCCTATAGCACTTGCACCAAGGAAATGAAAACCACGCTGTTTCACGGGCAGCTCACACGACCCTTGGCCAGTTCGTGGAGTCGAGCACCTGAGAGATGAGCAAAGCAGGGCTAAGCATGGGGGCTGCGTGGCCACCCAGGCCCGTTCAGGGAACATGACATGTGTGCACCGCAGCAGGGGCGGGCAGAGGCAGGATCTCCCAAGTCCCATGGCGCTGGCAGGACCCTGCAGAGCCTTAGCAGTGCAGGAATGGAAGACCAGAGTCTGAATCACGTGCTGGTTACCGGCAGCCGCAGGCGTTGGCCGCGGGGAGCTGAGCACAAGCACAGGCAGCTCCTGGCCCGGAGCACAGACACAGCAGTGTGAGTGTGCACAGAGGGGATAGAATGCCTTGGTGGAAGCATCACTAAAAGTGTGTGGAGAAAGTGGTGTGCGGGAACAGAGAAGGCATGGAGGGTACAGCCAGAGAAGGAGGCCACCGTGCCTGCCCCTCCACAGCCCCTCAAGGGCTACACTGCCCATGGCACCACGTCCCCCTGGCCCCTGCCCACAGGTTATGGGTGATGAAGTCAGGGGTGACATCTAACCCAAACAATGCTAATAGGTAAGCTAGCCAGAAATCCAGGAGGAAAAAGGTGAGATGTGTCCATCAAACTCTTTTGTTTGCAGAAAAACGAACTAGACACAAAGGGAGACTCCCCCAGGTGCACCTGCAGAGTTGCAGCCAAGTAGGCTATGGGAAGATCACTCAGTGAACCCTCCCCCAGCTTGGCAGGGCCCCCGGCGCAGCCCTAGCTCCGGCTGCAGGGAGGCCTAGCTCCACCCAGCACAGGGCTTGTTTCAAGTCACCTTGTGGTTCTACTCACTGATCTGTGTAACCCTTATGAGAAACAACCCCCATCCGCCTACTTTGAGTTTCTATTATTTGCTAGCCAGAAAAACAAATCAGAGCACCACCAAATAGCCCTATAATAACGAGATGATTTGTGTACAGTGTGCATCAGCTGAGATTCCTAACTCACGCGCTCTGGTACCGCTTCATGTCTGCTACCCTGAACAGCACGAACAAGCCAAGCATTTTTCTTTCCAGAGCAGCTAGAGAAAAGCATATAACCCCACACACTGACTTAGTACTTTCTGACTTCTGCTCTCTCTCACTGACGTTCGCCATCTCATCAGCCCATTTACGGCCAGCAGCTGACCCCTACCCCATGGCCTGCAGGGGAGCCTCTTTCTCAACAGATGCCTCTGTGCTCTGTTTCACACCAATTAAGAAAAATCAATAGGAAGTTCCTCACCTTTCTTCCCTTTCCCCTAGACACCTTCTCCACACCCGAGACTGCCTCATACCTGGCCCCGACTCCGTCTTGCCCAGCCTGGGGCCTGTACCTTGAACCTCTCTCCCTCCTCATTCCCTGACACACTGGTGTCTTCCGTTCTCTCAGCCCGATGACCACAGGCTGAACCACCTAAAGCAGCAGGCAACGGCTCCAACCCCTGCACCCCGAAATGCTGCTCCACTGCAGACGGGACACTGCTCTGGGCGTTCAGCCCTCCTGGCCCCACCACAAAGCGAGCAGAACCACGCCCTCGCTGCCCCTCATCCACCAGTGCCCCCATGAATCCACAAGGTCTTCATCTGCGACCTTACGAGGCACCGGGGGATGACATAAGCAGCGCCCAGCATCCCTTCTGAAGAACACATGCCCCAAACGTGTCCCCTGAACCTCAGCATGCAGAGATAATCAGAAATTCAGACTGTGGGGTACTCTACAGAAGTAGCCTGGATTCACCTCAAATCAAAGCCCTGAAAAGTAAAACATCAACAAGTAAATAGAGGCAGGGACTGTTATCAGGTCACAAGAGTTAGAAGAGGCAAAACACACAAGCACTCACACACTTCCTGGACAAATGAGGAAATCTGACATTCACCATGTTTCTGTTGAATTTCTCAGTTTTGTAATGGCATTGTGCTTATGGAGGTGACTATCCTTGTTCTTAGGAGACATGTGCTGGGGTATTAAGAGGCAAACGTCATTGATGTCTGCCACTTATTTCAAAAAGCTTAGCAAAAAAAAAATGTACATGCATTCTACATATACATATGCAGAAAAGGCGAGAAAGAACAAAAATGGCAAAATGTTAATAACCAGTGCATCTGGGTGAAAGGTTAATACAGGTGATACTATCCTTTCTGTGGTTTGACATTGTTCTAGGGAGCCATACCAATTTTTTATGGCAATATGACAGTTTTGATGATCTGGTATCTAATTGATTTTCCAGCCTCACTCCCAATTGCTCTCCTCTGTCACCCACTGCTCTGTGTGCACACACCTCAGAATGCCATAAGTACTATGGACAGGACAGTCCTTTTGTGTGGGACAGGATGCGTGGTGCTCTTGGCCTCCACCAACAATGGCAAAGCCCCTGCTCCAGTCACCCCTCTTCCACTGAGACCCCCACCCACCCACAGTGCTCCCCATGGGGCAAAGCATACCCTCTGCCAGCTGGGAACTCCTGAGAGGCTGCTCACTGCCCTAGGACTGGCCACGCCCCACAGGCACTGAGCCAGGGCCAGCACCCAATCCATGCAGGGTGCCCCTCCCACTCCATGACAGTGTGACCGTCCACCTGGAATGCCTTCACCAGCCCCATCTGTTAGAACCAGCCACCACCTGTCCCACTCATGATTGCCACCTACTTGGAAGTCAGTCCCTGGGCACTGGTACCGTGCCAAGCCTTTGTGTATCACCCACGGTAGCATCTTGCACATAACAGACACTCAAAGACTATTTGCGGAAAACCATTAGTAAATACTAAGTCAACTGCAAATAACTGATCTGTGAGGAATCCTTAACTTCCAAAATAAGCACACAAGGGTTATTTGTGCTGATTTATCTTAATCATAATTTTGATTCAGAGATTATCTCAAAAACAACAGTAAGAAACTTACCTTTTCCAAACGGCCCCCAAAAAGTCTTCGAGCTAGCAGCTTGCCTGCCTGTATGGCAACGGGAGTGAGCTCGATTTTACCCTCCAGAATATCTCCAATAGCATAAACATAGGGCACGTTGGTCTGCTCCATGTCATTTACTGGTATTTTGCCACTCCTATTAGATTTTGGAAAAGGGAAGAAACAGATGACTAACTCTATCCTGCTGGATGATTAACACTATTCCAGGAGAAGAGGAAATACACTGAGGCCAGGTCCTCCCTTTCAGAACTGATGCACCTCAGGTCACTGTCTACAAGACCAATGGCGTCCAATTACACATGTTTCTGGTGCTCCAAAAGGAAACACCTTTCTGGTTGGTGAAATCATGATCACTGTTTGGATGCTGAGGATATCTCCAGATTTCCCCCAGAGTCACACTGAGAGCTTTGAAATTTTTGTCCTTGCCTGACCAAGGACATGAAAATTCACTCTAAATTCACTCTAAGTGGGTGAATACATTTCCACAATTTATTTTTTAAAACCACTGTTTAATGCATAAACTCTTTAAGGTACATGATAGTTACTAATAGATTAATGAAAACATTGATAATGCAGAACTGGCATAATACTGACTATAAAATAAACTGAAAGCACTAAAATTTTGCATCTTAGTAACTCAATGAGAATTTCCGAGAGGTGATCTTGCTTTCTGCAGCAAAAATGCAATGATCCCACGTGTACTTACTGCTCATTGATTTTGACACCAATCTTCTCCAAGCCTATTTTCCTTGTACAGGAGTCACGACCAACTGCTAACAAAACCTGTATTTAGAGAGAGATCAAAAACACAAATTACCAATATCAGGAATGAAAGAGGGAACATCACTAAAGACCCTTCAGACAATGAAAGGATAATAACCAAATATTATGAACACCCTGTGACAAAAAGTTTGACAGCTTAAATGAATTTACCAAGCTTACACACACAAATCTGAATAACCTTATGCTATGTGCTAAATTAGTTATCCCTCCCCAAATTCATATGTTGAAGTCCTAACCCCTAGTACTTCAGATTATGACTATTTGGAGAATGGGCTTCAAGGAGGTAATTAAGGTAAAATGAGGCATTAGGGTGGCCCTAATGCAGGTGTCCTTATGTCTAATGACTGGTGTCCTTATAATAGGAGGAGATTAGGACACAGTCATACACAGAGGGGCTGCCATCTGAGGACACAGGGGAAGGAGGCACCTGCAAGCTAGGTAGGGAGGCTTCAGGGGACACCAAGCCTGCCGACACCCTCACCTTAGACTTCCAGACTTCGGAACTGTGAGAGACTGAATTTTTACTGTCTAAGCCACCCAGTCTGTGGTGCGTTTTTATGGAAATCCTAGCAGACTAACACACCTTACATTTATTAAAACTGAATTCACAATTTATAAACTTCATAAATTAAGACCCAGATGACTTCACTGGGTAAAGTCTATCGAAACTTAACTAAGAAATGATACTGATGGTACACAAACTCCTCCAGAAAAAAGGGGAGGGGAAACTTCCTAACTCCTTCTTATAAGGCCAGTATATACAACTGACACAAAAATCAAACAAGGACATTGAAGTTATAAGCCAATACTCCTCATGCACATAGATGCAGAATTCTTAACAAAATGTTAACAAATAATATACAGCAATATATGTAAAGGACATTGATCATGACCAAACAGGGTTTGTCCTGAAAATACAAATTTGGTTTAACATGTAAAAAGTCAGTCAATGTAATTAATCATATTAAAATGAAGGCACAATTTAATGATCCCATGGACGTAGAAAAAGCAATTGACAAAACTTAACATCCTTTGAGGATTTAATTAAATCCTCAGTAAACTAAGATTAAAAGAAAACTTCCCCAACCTGATAAAAGGCATCTGTAAAAAACCTAAGTATACATCCTGGCAATGATAAAAGACTGACTACTTCACCTCTGAGATCAGAGCAAGGTGGGGATGCCCACTCCCACAGTTGCTATTCAGCATCGTACTGGAGGTCTTAACCAGTGTGACAAGGCAAGAAAAAGAAATTAAAAGCATGTAGATTAGAAAGAAGAAACAAAACTGGTTTGAGTATGTAGACAAACGTCCTAAGAATCTACAAGCCTGAATTAACAAAAATCATTTGTATTTCTGTGTACTACCAGCTAATCACTGAAAACAAAAAAAATTTTAAATAACATTTACAATAGCTTAGAAACATGAGATAGAGATAAATTTACCAAAATACACAAAAGACCTCTGAGAGAAACTAAGGAATATGTAAACAAATGGAAAGAACCATGAAGTTTGTGCACTCGAAAAGTAAACATTGTTAAGATGTCAGTTCTTCCAAACTCATCGATATAACTGACACAATCCCAATCCCAATCCAAATCCCAGCAGGCTTCTTTTGGGTAAAATTTGGCAAGTTGTTTTTAAAATTTATATGGAAACGTACAGAACCTAAACAAAGTTGGAGGACTTACTCTAGCTGGCCTAAGGTTTACTATAAAGCTTCAGTAATAAAAACAATGTGTACTGGTGAAAGGAGACAAATGGCCAATGGGGAAAAGAGTGTAGGAACAGCAGACACACAGTTAAATGGTTCAGCAGAGGCACCAAAGCAATTCAGTCTTTCCAATGGATGGTACTGGGTACCCATGTGGAAGACAAAGGCCCTCTCTTCCCACCTCACACTATAAACAAATTAATTCAAGACAGATTACAGATCTAAACATGAAAGATCAAATTAGAAAACTTTAAGAAAATAAAAGTGACTATCTTCACAACCTTTGGGTAAGTAAAGATTTCCTAGAGCACAAAGAAAACATGAACCATAACACAAAAAACTGCTAAACTGGACTTCATAAAAAATTAAAAAACTACTGCTCATCAAAGATGCCATAAAAAATAAATGAATAGGCAAGTCACAGATGGGAAGAAAACATTCACAATACATGTATCTGAAAAGGGACTATACCCAAGATTTGTACAGAGAACATCTGCAATTCAGGGATAAAAATTCAAACAACCAAACAAAAATGGGTCAAAGATGTGAACAGATACTTCATAAAGGAAGACATACAAATGGCCGATAAACACAAGAAAAATTGCTCAACATGACTAGTCATCAGGAAGATGCAAACTAAAACTGTAAGATATCATGGGGTATGTGGTGGGGACTTGATAATAGGGGGAGTCTAGCAACCATAATGTTGCTCATGTCATCGTACATTAATGAAAAAAACAAAAACAAAAACTGTAAGATACCATTACATGTGCACTAGACTGGCCCAGATGGAAAAGCTGGACAATCCCACATGGTGGTGAGGATATGGAACTCAAAGCCATCATGCACAGCTGGTGGAAATACAAAATGATAAAATCATTTGGAAGCTGTTAGGCAGTTCCTCAACAAGTTAAACATGGAAGCTATCCTATGACCAAGCCATGTCACACCTAGGTGTTTTCCTGTGAGAAATGAAAATACATGTCCACAAAAGGCCTTCTGCAAGAAATCTGCTTAGCAATTTTAGTTGCTCCCCCCACACTCCCACAAAACTGCAAACAGCCTGGGTACCCATCCACAGGAAAATGAATAAAGTGTGTTACATTCATACAACTCTATATTCTACAACTTGTACCTAATAAGAACTAACCAGCAATGTATACAACACGGGTAAATCCTAAGCCAGATACCAAGGAGTACAGATCACATGACTCCATCCCTGTGATGTCTAGAATAGGCAAAACCAGTCAGGGTGACAGCTCAGAAAAGGGTTGCTTGGGGTCGGGGAGAGGGGAAGGACACAGAGAGCTTTCTGAACTCACAGGAAGATTCTGTTACCTACAAATGAGTGTGATTACATGAACATGTGCATTTGTCAAAACCAATGGGACCAGACATCTAAGACCTAGGTATTTCACTATATGTAACTTAGCCTCATTACAAAAATAAATAATCTACAAATTTAGATATGATGAACAACTTTATACCAATATATTTGATAAGCAGATGAAATGGACTAATTCCTAGAAAAATATAACTAATCAAAAGCAAGTCAAGAGAAAAACAGAAAGCCCTAAAAGTTCTTTGTTAAGGAAATTCAGTGGTCAAATATATGTATCCATAGAAAATCCTAGGCCCAGATGGTTGCATCAGTGAACTATCAAATATACAAAGAACCAATAGAAAAAGAAGGAATATACCCCAACTTGTTTCATGAGCTAACCTTAATACCCACATCTGAAAAGTTCAGTACCTGAAAAATTGTAAGCCAATATGATTTGTAAATGGAGACGCGAAAATTCTATATAGTCAAATCCAGCAGCACATAAAAAGGACCATTACCAAGTGGATTGACACCAGGAACATAAAGTTCTAAAGAACATTAGAAAATCTGTGTAATTCAACACAATACCCAATTGAGGAAAAAATGTTTGATTATCAACAGCTACAAAAGAAACATCATTACAACTGAATATCCACTCTGCATTTAAATAAATAAACAAATAACCATAAAACTTAGTAAATAAGAAAGAGAAAAGAATTTATTTAACTTGATTAAGAACATCTACTAAAAACCTATAGAAAACATTACTCTTTAATGAAGAAATACTAAAATCTTTCCTGTCGATACTGACAACAAGACAAGCGCGCCTGCCATTCCCAGTTCCTGCTGACACTGGGCTGGAGTCCCAGCTGGTGCACTCCTCCAAGAGATAAAAGGAGGTGGAAAGGAGGAGACAGAACAGTTGTTACTCACAAGTAATATGAAAACATAAAAAAATCCAAAATAATCAAGGGTAAATTACCAAAAATGAGTTTAGCAAGATTATTGAATACTAAATGAAAACACACAAATCAGCAGCATTTCTATAAATCAACAAAGACAATGACATTTTTCCAAAAAATACAATTTATAACTACCTACAAATAGGTAAGTACCTAGGAATAAATCTAACAGAAGATGGTCTTGATCTCTATAGAAAAACTGACTACCTTTCCTGGGAATCATTTACGATTCGAGGGAAGATACACAGTGTTCATGGGAGACCAAACACGGCAAAGGATCCAGTGTTCCCAGCAGGTTTGTACACCCTGCACAATCTGGACCGACACCGCAACAGGGGCTGACTCTGTGGCTTTGTTGTGTATTTTTTGGTCTTGTTGATGCTCTCCACATTGTTTACTTTTTTAAGTAAAAAAAACCTCACATGAGTACATAAAATATAAATGAGCAGTTTACGTCTAAACTATAAACTAGTTTACAGGAAATCTTGGCATCCAAACATCATCAGTTTAAATTCGACTTGTTGCTGCCCAAAGCAGCCCATGGACTATTCACATTATTTGGAAAGTTTATATTGTTTGTTTTTGAAAATGAAAGTATCTTGTTGCTTTTGAGTATAAGATATATTCAATGTTCACTGCAAAAACATTCAAATGCAGAAATGCACAAGGTATCTAATTCCCCAGAGGTAAATAAGCATGAATACACTTGGATGGTTCTGCTTCCAGATTTTGTTCTGTGTAGTTACACATACACATAATTTTACCTGACTCTCCACGTACCACTGAAAACTGTCAAATGTCAACAGCCAACTGCCTTTCAGATTTATTATACTCTTACAAAAATCCAAAAACATGTTAAGTTTGATATAATTTTTCTATAAGCTTCATCTGTGCTAGTTTATGAGCATGTTCAACCACTTAACTGCTTATAAAACAGACTTACTGTGTTGTATACGCCTTCCATAGTTTCTGGTCCCTCAGTGGATTTAGCCACCACTTTCAGCTTTCCAGGTGAACCTTTCTCCAACTGTTGAACCTAGTAAGGATAAATAATGTAACAACTGCATCTAAAGGTGACAGAAAATAAACGGATCATGGGTTGTACAAGTGTGGGAGTATACATGTGTGTGCACACATGCACATGTATTTAGGATTCTGGAGTAAACAGAGAAAAGAAGCCTGTCCCAGGATACAAGGAGGTAGAGGTAAGTTAGTGGATCAGCTGGAGTAGCATAAATGGAGGAATGAAGGGCTGCTTTCTAGGTGTTGACTTAACCAGTGTGGGGACCATATTACCAGCTGCTGAGAGTGAGACAGGCCAGAGAGATCAGCAGGGCAACACACTCAGGTAGAAAATCAAACTTCATTCGTGTCGTTAAATCTGAAATGCTTATGAGGAATTCAAGTGGAGGCATCCAGTAGGCAGCTGCGTAAACCGGTGGGGCGTTCAGGAGCGACGCCCGAGCAGGAGGTATGAATCTGAGAGCCACTGACATGGGGGTAACAAAGCAGGGGCCTGAGGAAGACCGCCTGGGTCAAGAGCACAGGCAGGGGGGCGCAGGTGTTCGGGTATTTACGAGCTGGGGGGATGTGGGCCGGGAGGCCCACGGAGGCTAGGAGGAGTGCCGTCAGCGCAAAGAATGTCAGCTGCACCTCATGATGCTCAGAGGCCCAGTGAGACAAGGGCAGAGATGTCGACCACGGAGTCTGCTACAGCCTGACAGGCAATGTTAAAGGCGCAGAAGGGATGGAAGCAGCTGAGAGTTCGCTGAAGTGGGAAATGGAGGCAAGAAATCAGAAGTAATATGTGTAGAAGTTTCCTTGTAAAGGGAAAAAGAAAAATGGGATCTAGCCAGAAAGACAGAGAGAAGGGAGGGTTTCTGGGGGGATGATGGAAGGGAGAGAAAATGACCTGCTGGTGATGCGTGTCATGAAAGGTGAGAGGTGACAAAAACAGGCCCCAGGCCTGAGCGGGGGGGAGGAGGGCAGGTCTAATGGGGGTTGGCTTTGTGGTCCAGGGGTGGGACACAGTATTTAGGGTCTACTATTGAATACAGACTAATTTATTTAATGAAATGAAGTAAAGAGGGGTAAAATCAAAAGCTAAAGAGAGTAAAATAAAATAAAAGGAACTCCAAATGTCATTCAGACTTACCATCACAGGCACAAATTTTCTTATGAACTTAACACCATATTGTTCCATGTAGGAACCCACTTTCTCTGCCATTTCTTGATCAAAGCCACGGAGAAGGATTGAGCGCACCATAATCGTGACATCTAAGCCAAGGCCAGCGAGAAACCCTGCACATTCCAGGGCAACGTAAGACGCACCCACTACTAACGTCTTGCCAGGGCAGTAAGGCAGAGAAAAAAGGTCATCGCTGAAAAATAAAGGCAATAAAGATGAAATGAGCTATTCAGGTTTTGATGTATCATGGTCTCTTGCTGGCTGAACTGCAATTTGGAGCTTGGATGAAGCAGCACTAGGATGAGGCCTTTTGGAGTTCGTGGCAGTGTTTGCTGGGGAGCAGAGTGTACCTCAGTTTCTTCAAAATCAAATAAACAAAAAAAAAAACAAATAAAGATGAAAATAAGTAGAATAGAAAATATCAGACTACATTAGATGTGATAAAAGGAAATATTGTTTTGGTATGTTGTGTGTGCTCACTTGAAGAGCAGTGCAACAAAAAATGGATTTTTTTAATGTGCATCTGGTCAAAAGTTTGAAAGTCTTTACACTCCATTATCAATGTCTCTTTACGACCACCTCAGTATTAGGAACAGCTGTGCTGCTCCTAGTCAGCTGGGTCAGTATGATCATATAGACACTAACCCCTAGTTAATTGTATTTACTTCTTTGTTTCGGCCTCTAGGAAGGTTAGAGCCAAATTCCCAGACCACTTTGAGCAATCACCTAGAAACATACTGATTATGTTTTGACATTATTATTTACCTAATCTTATTTTCTCTTTGCTTCATTATATTAACCACTTAGCTTCTTGTGTTGTATTTTTGTTATCAATTCATATCTTTTGTGAAATAAGACAGGGCATAAACAAACTGGAAACAGAAATAGTTTACAGTTAAAACAGTCTATTTAATCTTACCTAGTAATGCAGTATTCTTTATCTCCTGGGATTCCTAAGTATCGTGGCCTTTCACCTGTTGCTATGACAAATTTTGCAGCTGTATAACAAGTTTCCTGTCCTTTTCTATTGGTTGCCTTAAAAAAAGAAAAGCATATTTCACTTTTTCAACAAACACTGTGAAGCATCAAACATACTGGACTAGTTACAATCTTCATGGAGCTTCCCATTGAACAGGAACAGATACACAAAATAATGATGCAGTGTGATAAGCACCAACACAGAAAACAGAATCTTCATAAAACATTAACCAAAAAAGCATAGTGGAGGTGGAGTAGGGAACTGGAGGGCCAGTCAAGGATGGCAGTATTTCAAGTGGAGATGAGAAAGTGACATGATTTGAGACAAATGGAAACCTAGAGAGAGAACAGTATGTATAAAAGCACATGGGCCTGGAAGTAGCTGGTATCTGGGAAATAGCAAGTGGCCAGAAAGTGACGGGAAAGGAGGGTCCGAGTCCCGGTGAAGTGAAACAGATTACTGTCAAATGTAAAGATCGTGAGATACCATCCTTAAAATGCAGGCTATGGGGAACCCACCAAAGTTGCTTATTGTTTGTTTATTTCCAATTATACAAGTAAACCATAAATATATTTTCATTAAAAAAAATTAAAAACCAATAAAGGTGCTTAAACGGGGTGGTTTAAACAGAGGGACAGAGGGAGGGCAGCCTGGAGACAGGCACCTGCTTAGGAGGGCCCCAAAACAGACAAACCGGTGCAGCCTGCAGAGGAAGTCGAAAGAACTGGAGGTTTCTAGATGGAGCGACGAGAGAGGCTGGATCACACTGCTAAACGAGGAGACACAGGTTTGGCTGAATGAAGAGGCAGGTGGGCTGGGAACGATCGCTTTATTCAGCCAGCTGTGCCAGGCATATTGCAGTTTGAGAAATAAGACTAACTGGCTTGTATTTGCTGTTATTTTCATGTGAATGATGTAATTCAAACTGGCCCATGTATGGTTTTGAAGGGGCAAATTTCCCTGCACCACCCACACTGTTCTGGAAATAACAAATGACTACAAGATAACCTCAGATTCTGTCAACATCACCGTACGCTGGGCTACAAGGGCTGAATACAAAAATGAACCACATCTTGAGGACAGTATTTGACTGCCTTTCATAAACCCAATTTTAAATAATCAAAATGGGTCTCATTTTCCTTATGTATTCAAACTGTGAAAAATAACATTAAATACATTAAAATGTAAAAATACATTACAAATATAAATTTATAAAATACACTCATTCTGATACTAGTCTTATTAATGCTTTTATGAATTATACATTAGAGTTCTAGTTACGGCTTCATTTTTAAAAGAATTACAGGGCTAAAATTTTGAGCCCAAAACTATTTAGTCTAAATATTTTCTCTTTTAAGAATAATGATGGAATTGAAAGGCAAATAATAACTTTAAATTAAGTATTCCTTAAAAGGCAATGTCTTCAGTTTAGCCAGACACATGGAACCAACAAATGGAGGAACTGCATGTGCACGTGTGGCCACGTGAACCCTCACGTATACCAGCTACAGGCCTTAATGTGCAACACAGAATTTTAGTTCAAGGCAGGTACAAGCAGTAGGAAGGAAAAGCAATGAATAAGACAAAACATTCAAATGGTACCTTTAATTTATGATGCTCGACAAATTCTCCATAGGAATTGATATAGGCCACAGACTTCTCCCTCAAAGACAACCTGTAGCTCCAATTTAGAGAGCCGATGTGGTTTTGAATTGCTTCTGTCATGGTCTCCCAGTTGTGCTTCACTGAAAATAAATAACCAGGGTGGAGACGCAACATAAATTTTATTTTTAATGGTCAATTACATACAACTACACTTGAGCCATCCTATATGCAGCTAAGAATCAACAGGTGAGCAGAAGATAATTAGCAGCTTAAATCTTTTTTATGCCAGTTGTGGTGTACACTCTTCCTCTTTTATATTACAAAGCATATGCACACAGCGGAGTTCCGTAAAGAAGAAAAAAATCTATGGAGGAGAGAATGGGGAGACCTGGCCGCCCTACAGCCAGGCCCACGGTGTCACAAGGCAGGACGACTGTGTACTCAGGAGCACCCCAAGGACACTTCCACGCTGCGGGCCTGTTGCATGTGGCCCCGGGGATGTGAAGGGAAACAGGGCCTAGGTCACTGTGCCCTGCACATCTGCTACCCAGACCGGGCTGGGCTAACCCCTCTCGGTTCACATGCTGGTGGTGTTTTGATAGTGAATATCCTACATTTCTTGACAATAGATGTGGTTAGTGCTCACTGTTGCCCACCACTGGTAGTAAGAGGTTTATCCATTTCCTGCTGAAGTTGGTTGGGAGTTGAAAGAATCAGGATTCCTCATTACCCTTCTATCTTCTAAGGGATTTATTTCTTGGCATTCACCTCACCTGCTGATGCTGGTTCCCAAAGGAGACATCAGTCTACATGCATCACTGTGTTTATAAGACCTAGGGGCCAGGGTTGCCCTCAAGATCTCTGAAGACAAAACCTGCCAACTGAGGGTTTGCCCTCTGCTCACACCTGGAGGCTCACATCATCTATCTAGCACTCTCAAGAAAGGCCCACTACTCAGTGGGGACATGTGATGTTACAGTGCACAGAGAGGCGTGGCCACTGTGAACATTTACAGCCCGGCTGTCACATTACCGTTTCTAGGATGCCAGGTACAGCAAATCCGATTTTGCAATCCAGACGGTCATGCTGGCAGCCACATTTCCTGCCCACCAAGCCATGATCCCAGGAGGCTGCGACCCTCTCCACAATGGCACAAACTCCCACATCCTGAGACAGCCCCTCCCTGCTCCCCCAGAAAAGCTTTTTTTCCAGCCCTCAGAGAACCACTTATCCCAAGGGCCTTGTCAGTTAAAGTCACAGGCCCTGTGTCCCTTTGTTTCTGGTTCTTGTAAAAGACATGCTGTATTGGAGGTTCCCAAACAGCACTGTGTATCAGGACCCCCTGGGCAGCATGTTTAAATATACAAACCTAGCACCCACCACACACCTATGGAGTCAGGGAGGGACAGAACCGTACAGTTACAACGCTCCCAGGGACTCACAGGGCAAGTCTCGGGACTGGCACTGTAGAGCCAGCTGCTCTGTTTCTACGACCTGTTGGTCTGCAGGATCACTATTAAATACTGTGGGAGAAGTCCCCCTTCTGTACTTTCTCAACAATTGAAAAGCTATTCTCACACGTTTACTTCTCAGTATGAACTTTAGAATGAACTGTCACGCTGTGAAAAGAAAAAAGAAAAATGAGCTTTTTCCTGGACTTACAAAAAATGTACAATTTTGAGGTGATGTAATCACAATGTCGAAACATTCCAAGGTCACAGTGTATTTTTATGCTTTATATTCTTTTGTTTTGTACATTCCTAAATTTATTTCAAGTTTGTCATTTTCGTTGCAATTTTTCATTGTGTATTTACCTTATTGCTGAGATGTAGGAAACCTATTGATTTTTTCACATTTGTCTTATGAGCAACTTACTGAACTCTTACCAGTTCTAATATTTTTAGTTCAATCACCTGCATGTTCTAGAAACACTGTCTATAATCATACTATAAATTTACAGTATCTTTTTTCTTCCTCCTTTTCAAATGTGTGCTCTTTCTCCCTATCCTCGCTTTCTGTGCACAAAAATGGTGAGGATATTAGCAGCGCAGGGGGCAACCCCATCTCATTCGTGACCTGAAGGCAAATGCCTCGGGCCTTTCTCCAGTAAATATCTGCTTCGGACCTTCCTTTGTTGTGTAAAGGGAGTGTCCACCTCTTTGTGTAGACTTTCCGACAGTTCCTTTAAGGAGCGAGACTGGATGAGGGATGTGAGGTTCTCATCGAATGCCTCTGGGGCACAAAGCCAGGCCGCTCTCCTGCTGTGACTTCCTGTGCCGCCTGCGTCCTGCATCCGGGGATGCATTGCTGTACTTAGGACATCACGGCAGAGGATTTGCTAATGCTTTTGCTAGAGTTCTGGCACTTCCGTGGGCTATGATTTTCTATTTTTATGCCATCTTTACATATCATTGTTGTGTCAGTCTCCAAAAAAACTGGTAAACATTTCCATCTTTTCCTCAGTTCTGTAATAGTTTAAATTACAGTGTTCCTTAAAGATCTGAGGAAATTTGCTTGCAAATCTATGGTATCTTAAGAGAATGGACTGCTCTCAATGTACTCTTTGATAATTCAAGTCAATTCTGGTTATTCATATTTTCCTAGAATATACTCTTTTTCATCGAGATACTTACAAGTCTTAGGACTCATTTATATATTGAATTTACCTCTTTTCTATCCATAGCTACATTTCTTTTCTCACACCTAATGTTGCATATTTGTATGAATTTTCTCCTCTTATTTCGTTGATTGGATTCCCCAAAACCACCTACTTTATTTGTATTTTCAAATACACTCTTGGTTTTGTTTATCAGTCCTATTTTGGGAAGGGTGTTCACTTGTTAATTCCTATATTTAATCTTTGCCTGCAGTCTACCTACCTGGTATTAACTGCCACCACTTTCGTTTGCATTTCCGTGATACATCTTCTCTCATCTATTTAAAATTTCCCCAAGTATTTAATTTTAAATAGGAAATTTAAAATATTTATTTAAAATTTAAGATTCCTGTATTTTCATTCAAATTTCCATTGTTTTTGTTTCTTTAAAATTATGGTTGCGTGTCATTTCTCTGCACATTTCCCTCTTCCCTTTCTTTGGAAATTCTATACTTAATTTCTAATCTGTAGTTTATTTTAATCTGTATTCCTTATCAGCACCAAGAGGGAAAGTACCTACCACATCTCCTAGAACAAGCTTTTCCTTCCATCCTCTGGCCTCTCAGATTCTGTTGGCTTCGCCTGGCCATTCTTTGAGCTTATGCCGAAAAACTGCTGAGCCCCAAATTCCACGTGATGGCTAGCTGGGGATTTCTTAGGATAGTACCTCAAAATTATTTTAGAAGCATTTTGTGTATGGGGAACTACAGGAACTCTACAATAAGTTTTGCCCACTCAAGGAAATTAGAAAGAGTTTGGAAATATTAAGCACAAAGAAGGGTTCAAGAACCTAAGCGGCCCCTCAGGGGAAGCGGTGTGGTGTGAGCGTCACCCCCTCCGCTCGCCCTGAAAGCGCGGGCCCCCAGTGAGAGGCAGCAGGTGGGGCACAGCTGCTGCGCTAAGCAGTCACCGGCTCTCAGCTCTCGGAGGGACTCTGCCGTTTCGCACCACCCACACCCCTGCCTGGCTACATGTGGTCCCCCCTCTGTGGCAGGCTGTGTGTGGGCCTGTCCTTCACGGCCTTTTCCCTGCCAGAGGCCTCTGGTGTTTCCTCCCTACTTGGACTTGATTATTTTAGAAACAGGATATAAATGTTTTTAATTTTAAAAAGAGACTCCAAACCACCTATCAACCAATCCAAAGTGTGCGTGACTCAGATCCCACTCCACTTGGCCTTTCTGCAGCACTCCACACACGCTGGTTGTCTTTTCAGGCTCCAGAAGTCCCAAACCTCATCCTGAAAAACCTAACACCCCTCCCTTCGCCCCCACACCCGGCTCCTGATTTTCCTCCTCTTCTGCACCCACCTGAGATAGTTAACACATCTCAGGATTCTGTCTGTCTCCCACTCCACCCATTTATTCTCCCCCACCCATCTCAGCATCTCCCAAGACTTCAACCATCACCTACATGCTGCGCCTCTAAGCCCAGGTCTTGCCCAGGCCCCTCTTGAGCACAAACCATGCCCAGATGCCGAGGTCCACCAGGGTGCTCCAAAGGGGCCCTAAGTGAAATAGCATGCAAGATGCAGGGCTCAGGGGAAAGGATTCTTGAAAGCAAAGATGACCCAGAGGTTGAACTGCCAAGCAGAGGGCCTCATTTACCTGCACCCAGCTGACACTGCAGTCTGACTGGAAGCTCTCCGTGGAGCTGTCTGGGGAAATTCGTCCACAGGGAATTGGTTCAGCTGCAAACCATTACATGGACCTGCCCCATGCCCAGCCCCAGCCAGGCCCGCCTGTGTTCTCTATCTCAAGGAGTGCACTGAACTTTCTTCCCACGTTTTAGTCCCTCCTGCTGGATTCCTTCCTCTCCCTCACACTCTCCTCCACCAGTGACCTGGATGGCCAGGCAGAATCACCTGGAATTATCAGAATCATCTATGAAACATTAAATATGCCTATGACAGATCTGCTGGATCAAAGTTTCTGGGGAGAGAGACAGATGACATTTTAAAAAAATGGCACACATTATTCTAATGATACAAAAACAGCCGCTAGACACAACAGCAGTCAATGTCATGCCTTAAACCCTCTAAACCCACGTCATCCTCTCCAGTCTGACATCATCATTCCTGCTGAGGCCTTGTCATTCCTCCCCCGGGGTATGCACACCTCCTCACCATCCCTGCCTTTGTGCTGTCCCTCTGTGTATCATGACCCACCTTGCTGATTATACTCCCAGCCAAACTTCCTTGAGTCAGTTAATGCCTGCCCCAGAAGGGCAGCCTGGTGCATCAGTTTCTTAGGAATACAGCCCACATTTACACAAGTACCGCCAAGCCCTGAGAAAGAAAATAACAGTTTTAATGTTTCCTCTACGTGTGTGTCTGCATGTCATTTTACGTGTGTGCAGAACGGGTATTATTAAAACATATAGAAATGACAGGCTCAAATGGTTGGGGGGGAACATCACAACCCATGATAACACACAAATGATTAATCCAAACTTTTTAACTGAGAGTCTGTGAAGGAGACCCAAGGATGAGCCAAAAATATGGATGTGCATTCGAACAGTTTTCTTGGGACAGAGCCCAAAACTTTCATTTAGATCACAAAGGGACCATAGCTGTTTTAGATTATTTAGATACACACTACACCAAGGGCCGGAGCCCCAGCCTGGCCTTCACTCTCCGTAACTCTGCCGTCTCTGAGGGAGCAGTTGGTCTGCCCCAAGCCACTTGGTACCATCTCCTCTGGATCCAGAGCAACACACACGGGTCACGCACAAGTGCCCCTGAGCGGGGCAGAGGACAAATTCCCTCTTGGACCCCAGTCTTTTCTGCTAGTTCAGGTAAGTAGGATATTTCTGGGCAGGAGAGGCAAAAGGGAGGAGAGAAAGAGGGAAGAGGGAAGGAGGAAGGAAAAAGTGTACACCCACCATATGACTATTAAGAGAAAAATTAAGGCATATTAGTTTTATTACAGGAAATTCTAGGCTAAAACTTTTTGAGTAAGTTTGAATTTTAAAAAATGGTTTCCATATCTTGTCAGGGTCTGGCAGGAAACAGAAGACACCCTCAAGCTGGGAAATTGAGGAGAGTTTACAGAAAAATAGTTACTGGGGCGTGGGCAGGAGGAGCAAGGAAGACCAGAATATCGGAGAAACCCCAGCCCCGTGTGAAGGCACACAGGCAATGAGTGAACACGCAGCCCGAGAGGGACGGCCATGAGATGGGGGGTGGCCTTCCACACAGGCAGACTGAGCTGGCCAGCAGCCACAGCAGGGCCAGGGCCAGGGGAAGACCCCAGCTCCACTCTCCACCCCCGGCACATCCCCACCATTTCTCCCACCCAGAAGCCAGAGGGCAAGGCTGTCAATTCATCAGCCTTCTGGGGCATAGAACAGGGTAGAGACACAGAGAACACATTTGAAGCACAAACAGAAAGTTACCAGCAAAACATCTGTGTGTTCTATTTTAAACGCAAGAGGAACATGGGAAGGTGAGCACTCTGTCCACAGCAAAGTCACAGTGCACAAAGCTCACCTTGTGCTGTACTAAACTGAGCATGCACCTCAACTCCATGGACCACTGTGCAGCCTTTGGAGTCAGTTATGCTGTTAATGCAGAAATGCAAATAAGTGCTATGGCAAACTTAGGTGGGCACATTACAGTCTAATCTGTGACTGCCACTACGTGAAAACGTTAGTACACATGTGCAAAAATTATATTTGCAGATGGTCTGGACTATGGGGGTCATGGAACATTTTCTTTTTGCAACATCTTTCTTAATTATTTTCATATTATCTTCCCAAGTCATCCCTTGTCATGCAATTTTGGCCAGTTCCTTACGTTCACTGAGACTGTTTCCTTACCTGTGAAACAGGCTAGTAATACCTCTTGAGGTTGTCATGAGAATTAAATGAGCTCCCCAAAGCCAGTGATGGACATAAAGAGCAAGCACAGTGACAGCCACAAGAGCCGGGAGAAGCAGCTTACCCCAGGAGGTGCCCTGAGGGGATGGGACCACAAAGTCCAGCACCATGACTTTCTTTCCCAAAATGGCAGCTTCCTACAAAAGAAAGCAACATGTAAAGAGCTGCTATTTTCCTGACAATCCCCCCATTTTTCTTTCCCCTTAGTGAAAAGACTGTGTCCTGTGCTAATACAGTCTTCTTTGTATTATTAAGCAAGCTATTAAAATAAAAGCTTGGGCAGTGACATCAAAATGTGCTTTTTTTTTTTTTAAAGAAGCAGGAGAAATGCTTATGGCAATCACCAGGAAAATGATCTTTGGGTCTCTTTTTTTTCATACCTGAGCACATGCGAGGCCACCTGAACCACCGCCAAGGACAATGAGGTCAAAATCGTATGACGTGTCTTCCTGAAGGAGCTTCTGTAACAGGCCACTCTGGTGTGCCTATGGTTGACCAGAGAGAGCAGGGCATGACTTGTTTTAAAGCTGTTTATTTACACCCTACATTTAATCAGCACAATTTCTGTTTCAAAAATCTAGAGTCAACCTATGATCCATCTAAGCTGGAATTATAAACTTATCTTGAATGGTGTTCACCCGAGGTCCCAAGAGTTAGGAAGAGTGAGTGAGTGAGTGAGTGAGTGAGTGAGTGAGAGAGAGAGAGAGAGAGAGTGTGTGTGTGTCAAGGCCTGCTGGTCCAGCATGCGTCAAACAGCCCAGAGGTCACAGCTTTACACCTACGTCAGCCGAGGTTATTTTCCTTGGTCTGTTCACCCAAACATAACCAAATGCAATAAAGTGGCCGACTACCATTTTTGAAGATCCTCTATATTTTGGTCACCTGAATCAGGCTTTATGTTAACATCATAAACATATCTGTGTGCCATCAGCAGAGCACACACTTTACATTCTTTCATGGTTTCTCATAAATCAACCTAAATTTTTGCAGCTGCCTGGTGAACTTCCTATACAACACAAACATTTAGCTTTTTCCTTTCAGCAGCAGTTCACAGGTTGGCTCTGCACGCTATTCTCGTGTTCACTTGGCCCTCCTTGTGAAGCAGTTTAGATGAGGTCAGAGGTCCAACATGTGACTCAGCAAAAGTTTTCTTTATAAAAAGACCATGGGTGCACCATCCCATGACGCTGGCCTTAGAAACACCACACTGGAACCAGCTCATCCTGGGAGGCGCAATGGAAGGCCCATGTCACAACTGCATTCAGCAGATGCCTCATCGCCCACTGAAGGATGGTGGCCAGAAAGGTTTCCAGCACATTCTAAAGAGGCCTCCTTACTTTTAGATGCCCTTAGAAAAATCTGTCTCCTAGCACCTGCCATTGAAGGAAATGCCTTTCAGTTTGAAATAGGACTGATGTCTCTGCATCTGCAGATTCATCCTCTGACATCATTTTCCAGGTTAAGATTGGCAACACCAGCACTTCCGAAGGCCTTTCAGAGCTCTGATTATGGTACAAGCCACCATGTGAACTGGGTTACAGCTTCCAGAGCTAATAAAGCATGCTCTACTAGACAATGATGCTGGTTACAAATTAACATACAATGCAGACAGTCTTTTTTCCAAGAGAATTGTAACTTCAATTAAAATTTCAAATATGAGTTATCAATCACTGACTACCACCATACTGCATACTACCATTTGCAGGAATATAGGACAGCAGCATTTTAACAAAGGTAACAGGTTATAAGCAGAGACCTTACTTAATGAACATCAATTTTTATCTGTCACTGCTTAACTGGATGACTTCTGTTCATTTCTGCATTCTAGGAACCAAAAAATCAAAGGCCATAACCCTTTACAAAGCTCCACAGGATTAGCTTTGACAGGCATTACATTTACCCTAGACAAGCATGTTAGCATTGAACGACACTAAACCTTAAAAAGCGAACAGGCCTTGTTTCTCTCTCCATCAAGAGCCAGAGACCAGAGCTCCAGGTAGCCACATACAGTCTGGTAACCTCACTCAAAACTCAACTTCTAAAGGATGAGTTGGTAGAAAAGCTAATTTCCCTTAGAGCAAACCAAGGTAATCTAATAACCATCCTATACACTTTTCGACTAAACCACTCCTAAAACCCATGTTCTCCCCTTTCAAATATTTTTCAAATCAAAATTTAAACAAACAGCATTAAGAACAGATAACATTATTTTACCTGGAAAGTTTGGTCACATCCACCCACATGCACTTTATTCACAAAAATATTGGGCACGGTTCTTTGATTAGTGATCTCCGACAGTACTTCTTGAACATTGGCCCCATCATCTGAAGAATTAACAATTAAATACATTAGAAGAATGAAAGGGTTCCAAACCTTTGTGAGTTGAACTGAAGTGTCACAACACTCAAATGCTCACATGTGCAAACCCATAAAAGGTCAGTAGTTATATATGAAAGTATTATGTAACTTATGAAATGATGACTCAAGGGGAAAACGCCCAGGTTTTCAAAGGAAACCTTAAAGAGTGAAGACCAGTTTACTGATTCCTTTTAAAATAAACCCTTTGAAATTAGATTTTGATGCATAATTCAATGACTAATGCCAGGACAAACGATTTGATCTTTAAAGAGCAAACATCAAGATAAGAGTCTGCTTCCACAGGAATAACTCAGCAAATATTTCCTATAATGATATTTGAATAATCTTTATGATCATAGTCTACAATATAATCTCCATCCCTAAAAATATGAGCAGGGCATGACTACTTCAGACTACCCTATTTGGTATACTCTTTGGAAAAGTCTCAAAGATTCTACAACACTTCATATATTAAGGCAACTTAGCTAAAAGGAGTTGGTAAAGTCCAGTGAAGGCAGAGATTAAATATTTTTCTGTTCACTCCATCTCCCACCACTGCCATTCACATGCATGTGTAACATGCCCAATTAATATATCAATGCAAGCACAGATGACAAGAATTCAAAAGTATAGAACTCAAAAATTTATGTGTTCCCCCTCAAGGGTAATACAATCAGGACATAGGGATGGATTCTTTTCACATATTATGGCCTAATTTATTTTGCTAGGAAGTTAGCAGATACATTTGAAAGTAAAGTACTTCAAACATAGCAGCTAATACATCTTCCTCCCACTCCCTCCCCCCAAATATGAAAATTATATAAATAAAAAAATCTACACCAATTATTTGTCATACAGAGATTCATTTTCTGCATGGCTGAATGTAAACAAAAACAGCCCTGCTAACTCAGAGACAAGAGTAAAATGCAGCAAAGCAAATGCGAAGAAGTCAATCTCATTGGCATTATAAACACAGGATGTATTAACCATTCTACTTACCGACTCGATCAAGTTCCAAGACATTACATTCAACTCCCAAGGAAGAAAAGAGTTCTTTGACCTGGAACAAAAATTCACCTGTTTTACTCTTGCAAAGAGTCAACAGTTACGAAATGTGGGCATAGTAATAAGCGATGTCCAAAATAATTGTCCTGTTCTCTGAACTGCAGCCTAAGTGGTATTTTGAAGCCCACGTACACTGCCTCGGCCCTCAAGGAAAGCCTAGATCTTCCACTGCCAGGCCCGAGGGATTAGGTGCTCAGCAGACCTGCTCCTAGGTGAAACACATAGAGCTAGTGAGAATTTCTAAAAAAGAACAATTTAAAGCCCCTGGGAATTTTCCTAAGGGTGCACAGCAAATGAAGAAACATTTATTCACAAAAATCTTTTAGATGTCAGAGCAGGGAGAGGCTAAGGGAGTAAGACCACGACCTCCCCAACGCTCCATGAATGTGGCCAAGAGAGTGAGGCTGCCTCCCTTTCGCCAGAATGGGCGGGCCACCGGCACTTCCCAGTCTCCCCACAGCTCCCAGTGGCAGAGGTCACGTCCCTGGTAAGTGTGACCAAATGGGAGCTCCCTTCCTCCACCTGGCCCCCACTCACAGATTGAAGGCTCTGTGCTAGGCCAGAAATACTGGGGCCCCAATCACTCTCACCCCAGCCCACTGGAAGGGTGATGTCCCAGGCTGGGAAATGTGAGCCAGGAAGACCAGAGGTTACTACTCCCACCTGAGCTCTGCTCATAAAGCAGGGTTCTCACTCCACGAGAATCAGGTCACTGTCCCTACCCCTTGCTCTGGAGCAACATCTCAAAGATTCTGCTCAGGGGAAGAGGTAAACCATAACATTAGAGTGCTCCAAAGCTCTACCCAAAGAAAAACTTTATTTGAAATAGATGGTGGAGAAATTCGAGTCTAAAGGCATCTTTAAAACACTGGAGGCTTTGGAGGTCAGCAATGAAGGGGAGGTGATAGCTTCATTAGAGCAACAAGATAAACCGTAAGCTAGTGCGTTTACAAGAGAGAGAAAACCACAGGTTGAAAGTGAAAGGATGGAAAAGATACTCCACACTAGTAATAACCAGAAGAGAGCAGGAATGGCTTCATGGATACAAGACTAAATAGACTATGTCAAAATTGTTAGAAGAGACTAAAAATGGCTTTATATTTCGTAAAGGACTCCATATAACCAGTAAATACAATTATAAACATACCCACCAAACATGGAGTCTCAAATATCTGACGCAAACGCTGACCAAATTGAAGAAACTGACAGAGGAGACGTTAACATTTCACTTTTGAAACAGGATAGAACGACCAGACAGAGGATCAGTAAGGGCCAGAGGACTGGAAGAACACCACAGACCAAAGGGACCTAACAGACTACAGAACACTCCACCTAACAAAAGCAGGATACACATTTTCTCAAGTACAGATGGAACATTCTTCAGGACAGGTCATATATGCTGGCCACAGAACACATCTTAATGCAACTAGAAATCAATAGCAGAAAGACAAGTACAAGTATGTGGAAACTAAACACACTCCTCAACAATGGGTCAACGAAGAAGTCACAGGGGAAGCTAGAGCATATCCTGACAAATGAAAATAAAAATGCAGTGATGAAAGGAAAATCTATAGTTACAAATGTTTACGTTAAAAAACAAAGATCTTAAATCAACTCCCTAACTTTACACCTTAAGAAACTAGAAAGAAAACACAACTGAACCTAAAGGTAGCAGAAGGGAAGGAAGTACATTAAGGTGAGAGCAGAAATAAACAAAATAGAGAATAGGAAAACAATGGAAAAAAATCAACAAAACCAAGAGCTGTTCCTTTGAAAAGATTTACAGAATGGACATAATTTTAAGTTATACTAAGAAAGAAATGGAGAAGACTAAATAACTAAAATCAGAAATGAAATGGGGACCATTACACTGTTTTCACAGAAATAAAAAGGATTATAAGACAGTATTATGAACTGTACATCTACAAATATGATAATCTAGATGAAATGTTTAAGTGCCTAGAAACACATGCCCTACTAAAAATCATAAATAAATAGAAAATGGGAACAGACCTGGGACCACTAAGGAGACTGAGTCAGTAACCAAAAGCCTCACAACCAAGGAAAAGCTCAGGGCCAGATGGTTTCATGGTGAATTTTACCAAACATATAAAGAAAAATGAACACCAATATTCCTCAAACTCTGCCAAAAAACCAAAGAGGGAACATATCTAAACTCCTCCCATGAGGCCACCTAAGCCAGACTACAAGAAAACTGCAGACCAATATCCCTGATGACCGCTGATGCAAAAATCCTCAATGTAATAGTAGCAAATAGTGGCCAAGAAGGATTTATTCCTAGAATGCAAGAATGGTGCAACATACAAAGAGATCAATGTACCATACCATATTAACAGAATGAAGGACAAAAAAAAACACATAATCATCTCAATGGATGCAGGAAAAGCATTTAAGAACAGTCAACCCCCCTTCACAATAAAAACCCTCAACAAACTAAGAACAGAAGGAAACTACCCCCAACAAACGAAAGGCCATATACAAAAAGCCCACAGGTAACATCATACTTGATGGTGAGAGACTGAAAGCATTTCCTCTAAAACCAGGAACAAAAAAAAAGAGTGCCCACTTTCATCATTTTTATAGTACTAGATAGTACTATAGTACTAGAAGTCCTAGCCAGAGAAATATGGGAAGAAAAGGAAATAAAAGGCATCCAAATTGGAAAATAAGTAAAATTATCTCTATTCATTGATAACATGATCCTACACACACAAAATCCTAGAGACTGCCAAAAAACTATTAAACACACAAAATCCTAGAGACTGCCAAAAAACTATTAACTAATAAACAAACTCACTAAAGATACAGGACACAAAATCATCTCACAAAAATCAGTTACTTTCCTATATACTAACAATGAACAATCCCAAAAAGAAGAAAAGAATTCCACTTACAATATCATGAAGAACACCAATGAATAAACTTAATAAGAAGCAAAGACTTGTACACTAAAAACTACAAGTTGCTGAAAGAACTCAAGCTTCCACCAGTAAATGGAAAGATCTGTGTTCATAGCTTAGAAGAGAATTAATATTGTTTACATATCACTATTATCCAAAGTGATCTACAGACTCAGTGTAATCTCTAACAAAACCCCAAAAACAGACTTTGCAGAAATAGAAAAATCCATCCTAAAATTCATGTGGAATCTCAAGGAAACCTGGAATAGCAAAAAAAAAACCTTGAAAAAGAACAAAATTAGAGGTCTCACACTTCCTGATTTCAAAAATTGCTACAAAGCTGCAGTAGTCGAAACAGTGTGGTACTGTAATAAAGATAGACATAGAGATCAATAGAAGAGAACAGAGAACCCAGAAATAAAGCCTCACATATAAGGTCAAATGATTTTGACAGTGTTGCCAAGACCATTCAATGGGAAGGGACGATCTTTTCAATGAATGGTGCTACAAAAACTGGAGGGATTATCCACATGCAAAAGAATGCAACTGGACCCTTACCTAACACCATATGCAAAAATTAATGAATCAAAGATGTAAATGTAAGAGCTAAAACTATAAAACTCTTAGATAAAAACATGAGGCAAAAGCTTTTACAACATTTGATTTGGCAAGATTTTTTTAATGTAAGACCAAGGGCGCAATTAACAAAAGAAAACAAAGCAATTATACCTCATGAAAATTAAAAACTTCTGTGCATCAAAGGACAGATCAACTGAGTAATAAGGAAAACCCCAGAGTTGCAGAGAAAGTTACAAATCATATATCTGATAAGAGACTCATATCTAGAATATATGGAGAACTCATAAAGTCAAAAAAATATAACTGAATTAAAAAACTCAGAGGGCGGAGCCAAGATGGCAGGGTGAGTAGAGCAGCGGAAATCTCTTCCCAAAACCACATATATCTATGAAAATATAACAAAGACAACTCTTCCTAAAATAAGAGACCAGAGGACACAGGAAAACATCCAGACCACATCAACACCTGCGAGAACCCAGCGCGCCTTGCAAAGGGGGTAAGATACAAACCCCGGCCCGGCGGGTCCCGAGTGCCCCTCCCCCCAGCTCCCAGTGGGAGGCAGAGGGAGCCCAGGACTGCTGAACACCCATCCCCAGCCATCCGGACCAGAGCGCAGACACAGTGCAAGCGTGGGGCCCTGGATACTAGGGAAACAGGGCAGAAGAACGATGAGCGGGTACCAGAGGCTGGCGCCGGAGGACTAAAGAAAAGCGAGCGGCCATCTTTTTTTTGTTGTTGTTGCTGTTTTGTTGTGGTGAGTGCTTTTTGGAAGTCTTAAAGGGACAGGGACCCCAATACTAAGGAAACAGGGCAGCAAGACCGGCGAGCGGGTATCGGAGGCCAGCACCGGAGAATAAAGAAAAACGAGCAGCCATTTTTTTTTTTTTTTTT